CAGAATTCTGACTTTAATCTCAGAATTCTGACTGAATTCTGACAGCTAACAAACATGTTAGCATCAAGCCGTAGCCATGTGTGTTTTAGAGACTAAACTATATAGCCAGAAAAAAAAAAACGTTGACTATCTAAAAAGTAAATTAAGCTCTAATACGGAAGACCATTAGGGCCACTGGAAAAAAAAACAACTGATTCTTAAATTTTATTTCAGTATAATATGACAAAAAAAGTCAGAATTCTGACTTTTTTTTTTTCAGTATTCTGACTTTAATCTCAGAATTCTGACAGCTAACAAACATGTTAGCATCAAGCCGTAGCCATGCCTGTTTTAGAGACTAAGCTTTCTTCTTCTTCTCCTCCATTAATGAAATAGCATCACCGTGGACCCCTCAGGCACGTAAAAAGACGCCTAAAACCATCATTTTCCACCAATGTGTCACTGGCCCTCTCAAACAACTCACATCTTTGTCAGTGAAGCTGAGTGCCCCCACATCTCTTCCTTCATGGTGCCCATCTACATTAAGATCCACAATTCTCAGATTAAAGTCAGAATTCTGACTTTTTTCCGCATAATAAAATGAAATAAAATTAAAATATCAGTTAAGTTTTTTTTATTATTTCCATGTCCATAGACCTCTTCTGTACTCTAAAGTGTTTCTGATTTGCTCTAAAATTTGCTCTATTCACTGAGTAATATATTCATTGATATATTTTACTTAGACTTAGACAGATTTTAATTAAGACATTTGATCAAGTCCAGCTCTCTAGACTTTTATTTTTTTTAAGTGTAGCCTTGTTAAGTTAAACAGCAGTGATAAAAACATGAAAATTAAAAAAAGTAATGTAAACATATGACTGTATAGTTACAGTTCTACATTCAGTTTATATAATATTTTACCAATTCCATATAAAAAATAAAGAAGGCATTGGTTAAAATAATAGTTGTGATAACGATATGAGCACATTAGAGAACTCTATGACTGACACTGCAAACAAAGGTCAATCAAAGCAAGTAATTTTTTTCCCTTAATTTTTTTCCTAAATTGAGGAAGTAAGTGAGATACTTTGCCAATGGAGCAAGACAAATAACATCGAAAATAAGAAAAAAAAAATCGCATTGTCACATTTTAAGTGCATAATATCAAATGATCTTATTTTAAGGGTAAAAATACTCTTTCTACACTGGAAAAAAATAATGCAACCACTTTTGGCATCTATTTAATCATATTTAGTTATTTTATCACAATTGTTTTATGTCCAACGCTGCTAACATGAAAAAATTGTGTTAAAGTAACTAAATATGATTAAGTAAATGGCAAAAATGGTTGCATTATTTTTTTAAATGTCTTATTTTCATGCTCAAATTAAGGGTTTATGCACTTAATTTAAGAAATTTTGACTTATTTTCAGAGCGTTTTGCAGTACATAACATCAAACTGCATCCATTAACCCATCCCACTTTTTAAAAATCTTTAATATCTGACTATAATTTCTTCTATTGGGGTTTAAAAGGTTATTGATTCTAAATATCTTATCTAAAGATGCTCTTTAGGTTCAGGATGTTCAAATAGACGTAAAATAGAACCCAAGGGAAATCTGATAAAATGTGCACTGCAAAAAAAATTAATAAATAAGTAATTTCCTCTTAAAATAAGTGAATTTTTTCTTGAATTAAGGATCTAAGTGAGACACTTTGCCAATGGA